GACGGAGCGGCTGGTTACAGGCTCTGCAAACAAGCCTCCAGTCCTGGGAGCCAAGTGCTTTCAAGGGTAAACAGATTCAGGTATCCTTTAGAGGAGACGCCGGCCTCTGGTCACTGAGCAAAGCGGAGGCCGTCATGGAGGCCCAGAGGCAGGAGAGATGCTGGTCTGGGAAGCTGAGCGTGCTTACTCAGTGCCGCCAGCCGGGGGCTTTCAGCCCGGAGCTGCTGCTGACCCTTCCAGGGGCCCCGGAGGCAGGTGCCCGGGACAGCGTCATCTACCCAGATGGGAACAGTGGCCCAGTGCCTGGAGACGCCCCCGCACTTGGTGGGAAAATGGCAGTCCGGTGGCAGCAGCAAAGCCACCTCATGCCGCCCTCTCCTGAGGGTCTGGCTCTGGGCGGGGCGGACACTGGAGTCCACACGGATGGGGTGAGCGAAGGTGGATACAACAGAGGTGCCGGCCTCCTGGGGTCGCGGGAAGGGCCGCGAAGCTGGGAAGTCCTCGTACCCAGCACCAAAGAAGTTACTCTGGCCGCGATGATTCCTGCCCTGAGTGGAAAGTGCCACCCTGTCCGTGCGCCCCGGGTCATCGTGGCGGGGGCGCCCGGGTCAGACGTAGGGCTGGTGCCCCAGGCGGGGGTGGGTGCTCATGCTCTCAGACGGTCGCTAATGGCCCCCGGCCCCGGGGCCCCGCCGCGGCCGCCTCCTGAGAGCACAGAGGTCAGACCTCGGCGCCACGCACACCAGCGGCGCCTGTTTGGGAAGCTCGTGCGGGGCCAGCTCCCAGGTGCGCTCCCAGGGCTGGCGGTGAACACTTAGGAACGGCTTTGCTGAGAGCTTTCCTCCCGGCCAGGTGCCGCAGCAGACGGGCCCCCGGGGCACCCAACCTGGGCTGGGGTCCCGTCTCCCGCACGGGCCGCAAGGGCGAGGCCCCCCTCCCCCCTCCACCTCACCTCTCGGTCCAGGCCAGCTGCCACGGTCACAATGTCCCCTGTCTCGCTGTTGATGGTGAACATGTTCTGGGACGGGCTCTGCGGGGTCTGGGTCACGATCCGGTACCGCACCATCCCATTGGCCGTGGTGCGGTCGTCCGCGTCATTGGCCGTGATGGTCATCACATAGGTGCCTGGGACAGAGAAAGCTCTCAGATGGGAATGATCTGCTGTGTCTGCTGCTGCCCCAGGGGCACACCCGGGGCAGACATCGCCAGCCGATCCCCATCTCCCGGAGACGGAGGGAACCCCACGTCGCCGGAGGCAGGCTGGAAAGCAAACCTGCCGCCTTCACTTCCCCACGAGGCTTCGGAGGACTTCTTCTAGAGCTCAGGGTTCCTGTGAGGCATCGGCTCTGACTTCCTTCTCTCTCAGCGGTGGGGGGCGGGGCAGGGGGAGAGCAGGACCGGCTGCGGGACCAGCTTTTCCAACTCCTAACCCAGCTCCCTCTCCCCAAGCCACACGGCTCAAGACCCGGCTCTCAGTGTTTGCCGGGGCTCCGCCGAGCACACATGGAGGGTGGTGCAGTGGGGATCTGGAGGCGCCCGGAGAAGGAGCGGGGCCTGGCCCGGGGCTGGCTCTGCGGAAGGCATGGAGTACGTGCTTGAGGGACACACGGGAAAGGAGCTGGCAGGAGCGCCTGCAGGGGAGGCTGTGCACCCTGGGGGAGCACACGTGCAGGGGTGCAGGTGTTTCAGATCCAAGGGGCTGGGCAACTGCCTGAGCTGCCCCACTGCTCGGTGTCTGTTTCCCCGACCACACGTAGGCCTGAGCTCCCTGGTGGAAGACAGCACAGCCCCACTCTCTGAGGGCGGCACCTGAGGGTCCTGTTGGTGTCCATCCTTCCCTGCCTTGCGAGGCCCTGGTTGGCTGAGCACATCCCTCCCCCTGGCCACAGTGATCGGTTCAGCTGTGGGCACCTTACCCATCAGAGTCGGCAATAACCATGTTTGCTGGGGTTCCTGGGAAACCAACATGCTGTCCCTGCCCCTGGGTCTGCCTGTGTCAGTGAGTGAGGCTGGGGATGATGGTCACTTTCTGGCCACAAATAAAGAGGCTGAAGGACAGGGCCATCTTGGGGCCTCAAGAGGGGCTCAGGTGACAGCTTCTCACTAGGTAGCCCCTGGATCAACCTGCACCTGAAGCTATTGCCTAAAGACTTTTACTTTTATTATTATTTATTTATTTATTTGAGAAGCAGGTGGCACTGAGTGAGCAGGGAGCCCGATGTGGGACTTGAACCTAGAACCCAGAACCTGGGGATCATCACCTGAGCTGAAGGCAGACACTTCACCGACTGAGCCACCCAGGTGCCCCTACCTAAAGACTATTTTAAACATGCACACTTTTTTTTTTTTTAAGAACAGTTTTAGGTTAACAGAAAATTTAAGGTACCCTATAGACTTTCTGTGTAATTTAGCCCATGAATTTCCCTTCACACCTTACGCCATTTTACTTTGAATTTTTGTCACTTGCAACCCAGAGTTCCGACTGGCACAAACTCCTAGCCCTGTGGCACTGGAGTCCTGGAGGCCCTTGTCCTGAGCTGCATGTTTTTAGTTCATTTCCTTGCTCCAGAACAATGTGCTGTCCGGAGCCCTGCAGGGGTGCGGAGGAGTGTGTGCCCTACCTTGATGCGATCCTTTCTTGGGAGTAGATGTCTGAAGCTGGGGCTGAACTGGGCTTGGGGTTTCAAGCTGAGCAGCTAGGCCTCCAGGCCTGAGAAGAGGAGGGTGAGAGGATAGGGAGGGGGTAGGGCTCTAAGCACCCAGGAACCCTGTTTCAGCTGGCTTCAACTTCATCATGAACTCCTTGACCAAGTCCCAGCTCCCAGCACGGCCCCTGACTGGTGAACCAGGGCATCAGAGTTTTGGGGAGGAAGTATTCCCAAAGCTTTAAAATCCCAGGCTCAGCATCAAATTTGGTGCCTTCTGAGAGAAAGTTCTGGAGGCAGAGTGTGTGCAGTCTGGATGTGGCTGAGGCTCTTGCTTTGCAGAGCCCACCCAGTCAGTCTGTGCCCCTCGCTGTGCCCCCGGGCCCCAGATGTGGAGGACTCGGATCTGAATGTTTGGCAACAAGACTGGTCCTTTAGTTTTGGGCTCGTTATAACATCACGTTACATCTAGGCATCCACCTTATTTGCTATGTTCAGGAGTCTGCTTTTTAAAACCAAATGATAGAATTCTAATAATTCGGGCGCCTGGGTGGCTCAGTTGGTTAAGCGACTGCCTTCGGCTCAGGTCATGATCCTGGAGTCCTGGGATCGAGTCCCGCATCGGGCTCCCTGCTTGGCGGGGAGTCTGCTTCTCCCTCTGACCCTCCCCCTCTCATGCGCTCTCTCTCATTCTCTCTCTCAAATAAATAAATAAAATCTTTAAAAAAAAAAAAGAATTCTAATAATTCTTTTCCGATTGCACAAATGAAACCCACCCACGGAAACCAGCGCGTTTTCATGGGAAAATATCAGAAGGTACAATGTAGGAAAAGCTGGCCGGTGACCCCGCCGCCTGACACACCCGCCGTGGCCTCTTGGCTTAGTCTCCAGTCAAGGAGCCTAAATTTCAAATCTTTATCACAGAGACACTCTTTGCTCCTCCTTTTTGAAAACAACAACAATTTTATTACTGATCAAAGATATGAAAGAAGGGCGCTTTCACATGCCCAAAACGCAAATGCTCTTTAAAAATAACAACGATAGAGAATAGCAGGGATATACAGGGAATGGGCACCCTACCCCCTACAGTGTCCAGGGAGCACAAGGCCTCAGCTTCTGGACGCAGCTGGCTCTCTATACCCATGTGCCTTTAAAATGTGTCCAGTTGACAAATCCACTTCTAGAAATTTATCCTCAGGAAAAAAATCACAGATATGCAATAGATGATTGATTTGTGCCCCCAGTGGTCCGTGCTGACACGGTTCCTGATAGCAAAGCCTGAAATCCTCCACAAATATTTATTAAATATCCACTATGTGCCAAGCACCGTGTTCAGCATTGCATGTCCGTGAGCAAAAGAGATACACAAAGTCCCCGATGCACAGGGGTGGGTGTGACCATTAAATCCCCAACATGAGGATCCTCCTAGGGATGGAATGTCTGTATCTTGACTGTGTCAACCCCAAATATCCTGGCTGGCATATTGTCCTGTGGTTCTGCCAAGACATGATGGAGAGACTGAACACACGCGAAATGACAGTCAATCCGACATGAAGATAGGACTCTAACACACCGTCCGCGGGAGCCGGCCCGGGAGGTCCACCCACCAGCCGGGGGAACCAGCGTGGGAGGTAGCAGCTCCCCGCAGGTCAGACTTGGAGGAAGTCAGACCCCCTATCTCTAGTAACAATCCAGGAAGCCAAACAGTCACCCTGTAACCATTGGCCCGGAACTGCAGGGACTTGATGGATAACTGACAGCTTCCCCAGTTTTTGTCCCGGCTTCTGACTCAGGGCCAGCCAGAGAAGTATGCCTCCAACTAATGACACAGGATGTCCACCTCCCACTTCTCCAGGCCCAAGCCCCATCAGGGCACAGCTGAGCGGCCCCTTCCCCACCATGAAGCTCTCTGTTCCGCTGCCCGCCTTCGAGTCTTTGCCCAGTGCACGTGGTGGGGGCCGACTCCCTGGCTCCGGCTGGCTCTGAATAAACAGAGCTCATTGGGGTGGGCTTCACTCATTTCCACGTTACCACCAGGGGAACCGAAGGACTGGGGACTCTGTCTTAGGTTGCACGCTGTGTGTGCATCTACAGCGATCTTAAATAAAAAGTCCAAGTGGAAAAAACCCCTGGCCCGTGAGGCTCACATCTGGTGGTGCAGACAAGCCATGGGCACAATCAATAAGCAAATGATATTAACCGTAGTACAGCAGGGTGTTGGTTAAATAAATTATGATGTTATCATAACTTTGCCATCATGGAGTAGTGTGAAGCCATTAAAATGTTGTAGAAGGATAGTTAATGTTATTTGAAATTTTCATGACATACGTGCGGCTCACTGGAAAAGAACGAGGGCTCTAGACTGTTCAGTGTGACCCCAATCTCTAAAATAACAACGTGTTTATGCAAAGGAGGGGAGGCCAGAGGGCGTGTGACGGACATGCAATCTCTGAGTGCGGCACCGTATGTGGGAGTTTGAGTTTTCCTTTGTGGTTTTCTGTGTACCTTCCACGGTTCCTTCAACGGCTATCTGTCGCTTATCAGAAAGTAAGATGTTACTAAAAAAAAAAAAAAAAAAGAAGAAGATAGAAAAAGAAAAAAGGCAACTGAGAAATAGAAGATGTGACTTTGTGTTTAGAGCCTAAACTGCAACTTGGTTTCTCTCAAGAAGGAGGGATTCTGAAAGCCCGGCTGGGTCGCCAGTCCATGGTCAGGTGGCCGACGCATGTGGGAGTGCCCTACCCCGAGTGGGAAAGGGACAGGGTCTGTGGAACAGCAGAGATGAAATAGGAGCGTTCAGGGCCCTGGAGCAGAGCCCAGGCCAGAAGAGATGGGTAGACGCTGGAGGAATTCCTGAGAGCCTGGAGGGCCCTCTTGGCGGGGGCAGCCTTCCTTCCTGTCTGTGCATGGTCTAGACCCCACGTGTGTGTGCCCACCCAGCGGGCACAGGACATGTGCTGAGCCGGGGCCGTGCTCTAATCTGGGTTGCACCCTGCCCGGGCCCTGAGCTGTGGGTCCCCGTGCCGCCGTCTCCTCCTGACATGCAACGGCTTCCCGTTCTGACCCCCGTTCTGGCCTTGGTCATGGCGTTCTTTTCCCTGAAGCCCGGCGGTCCTCACAGCCTGCAGTAGACGCTGTGGCCTCCTCCACACCCTTCCACGCTGGGGTTTGGGTGGATGGACCCCACGCCTGGCTCTAGAGCTGGGGCCCCGACAGGCAGTGGCTGATGGCCATGACCTCGCACCCTCCTACAAGGCTCGGGCAGGGTGGGTGGACTTCCCTTGGGCACAGAGAAGGTGCAGGAGGGCTAGGAAGGTGTGCCAGGCCAAGGGTACGGCCGTAAGCAAGAGAACTTTATTATCTCCCAGTTCTGGAGGCCAGAAGTCCAAAATCAAGGTGTCAGCCTCGGTCCTAATCTCTCCTTCTTAAAAGGGTCACCAGTCCTAGCGGATCAGAGCTCGTCTTGACTACGTCTGCAAA